AACTTAGCTATTTTTTCTCTGAATAGGCTCATTTCAGAGACCCTGTTTTTCACTCCTTAATCATAGTAAAACCCAAACAGACAAGAAATATTATGCTGGAAATAACAACTGTGTGAGACAGAGGTGGCATACATGCTGCATAAAAGGTCATGGCCCGTAGTATCTTTACATGGAAGTAAAATCCATGGAGAGTTTTGGAGCCTTACTTTTTAACATTTGGGTTGGATATTTTTTTTCCTTCCTGTCTACAAGTAATTTATAATGGAAATGAGAGAGTGCTAAATGAAGTTGGACTACTAAACCTAATTTAAAAAGCACTTAACTGCTCTTGCTGTCTAAGAGTATCTCTACAACAGAGATGCTCTCAGAACTGAAAAGATACTCTGTCAGTAGCCACATACAAGAGTCTAATCTTGTTTGAAGGAGTCCTTGTGTCACTGGGAAGGGTCCTGTCTCACTTGTACAAGGTTTTCTCACTTGTGCAAGGTTTTACACAACCATAAGGTGTTTTTGGCAGGAGCCTCCCCATTGGATGTATCACAGTATTAGACTTTGCATTTGGAACCTGTTCTGGGTCTGAGACTCTCAGCTGTAATGTTTGTTGATTTGTAGATTATTAATTACAGGTAATAGGAAAACTGCTGATATTTTGCACTTGTTAGCTTGCCTCCCCTGTCCTCCAAGGTGCTGGAGGTAAAATGTAAGGCAAGTTGTAAAAGTGACCAAAACCACTTTGGCAGTTTCTGATTATGCACTTTGTTCCTGGTCCCTACGCTGAGCACTAACTGTGCTTTTCCCCTTTTTGCTTTCTGAAGAAGTCCCTGCTGGAAAAACCATCAGAATTGATGTCTCAGTCATCATCTTTCCTGTCCCTCAGCGGCTTTTCTCTAAATCAGGTGAGTGTGAACCAGAGTCCAACACCTTTTGCTGTTTCAGCTTGTGATTAAGCCAGTGGAAAACCTGAAAGAAATCCACACTGATGTGTAATTCCACTCTGCATCAACCCTAATCTTTGCCTTTATCAGTTTTCTTCCCAAATTCATCTTAGCTATATCTCTGCAGATCTTATTACTGAGTTCAGGGGCCCTTCCTCTTAGTGAAGCCATGAAATTGACTGAAAAGTGGATCTCAGGGTGCTGTGGTGTGTAGGTTTTTATGTCCAGAGCAATTGATTACCTATTCTCTCCCAGAGAATTGAGCATTGTCTTGATAGAACTTTTCTGAGTACTGGGAATCAAGATTTTGTGAAGACTTTGCAGTTCAGCCAGGAGAAATCTGTCTTGATTCAGAATGTGGTGTAGTTAAATTAAATGGTCAAAGAAGATGGGGCTTGGAAGTGAAAAAGGAATTAGGAACTATTTTGAACTAGAATTGTTTCCTTTGTACAGTCTCAGTGTTTGAAATAAAAGTCTAACACACAAGCTCTTATATTGTTTGGTTTTTTTCAGGAAAGATATTCAAACAACAGCATGTTCAATGAGGTATATGGAAAAAACATCAATACCAGCACAAAAACAGAAGTCACCCCTTCAGTTGCCCATCAGGAGACTTCACTCTATTCTCTCTTTGAAGGGACTCCGTGGTCTCCATCCCTTCCAGCCAGCTCAGGTAATCCTGGTACAGCATTTCTTGTGTCTACTGATTTAAGAGGATTTGAGTTAATTCTAAACCAACTGCAAGTTATATGTAACTGGAATTAAAAAAAAAAAAAAACAAAAAAACCCCCCAAACTTGCTTGGCAAGATCTCTGAAGGTTTCTGTTTTACTTTATATATCTGCAGAAATACGAGGGGATTTTGTAATTAATACAGTGTAAGAACTTGGATTTTAATTTAAGTAGTTGAGCAGGATAAATGTTGTAGGAGGTGATAAATCCTGAAATCTCTTTAACTTGGTTTCCTGACAGCCATTTGGGAGTAGTGCTTTAACTCAGACATCCATATACTTTGTGTTGCATTTTTTTGGAAAAAGCAGGAGGAGCTGGATTTCATAATGCAAATATTTGAAGAAGAAACTGTATAAGGGAAGAGTGGAGGAAAATACAACAGCAGTGGGGTTTGTTGCATTGGTTTTTTACTGTTAAGCAGCCCATAAAGCAGACCAACTTCTTTGTTGGTAATTATCTTAAAGGCATAAACCATAACTATTACATCTGGATTTTAATCTTGGAAGAGTCTGAGAGAGGAGTTAGTTGAATCTAAGAAAAGAGTGGATTTTAAATAACACCTGCACTGGACGAGATGTTTGGTGGGACTTGTGCACCCAGCCAGGAGAAGCTGTTGTGGGTGAAATGGAGGGAGTTGCAAAGTGCTTTTATTCTAGCAGGGTTTTTGGCTCACATGGCTTCAACTCCCTTTCCCTTCACCTCTTCATGTGTTCTGTTCTGCCTGTGGACAGCCTGCTTCATGCTCCCTCTCCTCTTTTGCTCACTAATGAGTTCTGGTCTCAATTGTTTTAAGACTCATATAAGTGCAAAAAATTCTCAGACCTGGGAGTTGGAGTTGTAAACTTGCAAACTCCTCAAGGTCTAATCTAATTTTTCAATTGGTTTGTCAAGCTTGGAGATAGTTATTCTTTTAGTTTGACACAAGTTCTTCAAGAGACAGGGGGGAAACTGCCTTTTGCCTAACCAGCCCTCATGAGGTGTCCTGGGTTTTGTTTTTCTTGCAAGCATTAAACACAGTCGTTCTGTTCTTGTAAATTTTTCACTCAGAATTTAGGAATTTGCATTACATTCATGTAATGGAGGGAATAAAAACTGACCTTCAGCATTGTAGCAAACTGGGTGATGGCAGAATTTGCAGCAGCACTAAGAAATTCAAAACTGGGAGGCTCCTGCTGTCTCTGCTGACCTTTTTTCCTCTTCCCTTGTAATCCCTAGATCATTCAACACCAGCCAGCCAGTCTCCTCACTCCTCCAACCCCAGCAGCTTGCCAAGCTCCCCTCCAACCCATAACCACAATTCTGTTCCTTTCTCCAACTTTGGACCCATTGGGACTCCGGACAACAGAGACCGGAGAGTTGCAGACCGCTGGAAAACAGATAAGCCAGGCAAGTGCTGGGTTCCAGTTAGCATGGAGCTGTCAGACACCATCATCTGATGATGCTTGTTTTGCACTGGTTTTGCCATCTCACTGTGAACTTGTCTTTCCGCCATTTTAGCAATGGGAGGGTTTGGTCTGGACTATCTCCCAACAACATCGTCCTCTTCAGAGAGCAGCTGGCACCAGTCCAGTGCTCCCAGTGGTACCTGGGCAGTGCAAGGCCCTCCTGCCATGGAGGACTCCTCTGCTGTGCTTATGGAGAGCCTGAAGGTGGGTTTGGCTGGGGCTGTGCTCAGGGATGGGTCTGCAGGCTGGATGATCAAGTGATGGCCATTAGCCTGTTGGAAGTGTCAGAGTTCAGTGCCAGAAGCCCAGAGATTTTCCTGCAGATTCACTTACATGAGGCACTGTGGGAGGTGTCACCAATGCAGGAAGATGTCACAAATTTACAGTTCTTGCTGGTTTTGAGATTTTGTGGAACAAGCCCAGGCTGGCAGAACTGGAAGAAATTCTAACATTAGCTTTGACTAGTCTAAAATTAGTAATAGTTAATGTGGGATGAGTTTTTATGGTAATGAGAGTTCTGGAGGAGGATAAAGTTCTTCCAGGGAGTCTCTTTTTAGAAGGTTGTCTTTGAAGCCTGGTTAACTTTCGTGATAAGCCAGGTATGAGTGATAAGGAGGGAGCATATACAACATGATGTCTGCTTTCCCACCTGGCTGTGTGATGCAAGGAGGTGCTATTGTTGGCTGTTTGTTTTTAGTCCATCTGGTCCAGTTCCATGATGCACCCCGGCCCCTCGGCCCTGGAGCAGCTGTTGATGCAGCAGAAGCAGAAGCAGCAGCGCGGACAAGGTGCCATGAACCCGCCGCATTGAGACAGAGGAAACACCCTCACAACGACGGCTCCATAAACCATGGCATGTTGGGTCTGTGGGACTGGCACACACAGTCCTGTGCAGGTGGCAGCCCTCTCTTCTGTTCCTTGCTGTCAGGAGGGCGTAAGTGCTCCACCAACCCACTGAGTGTGCACAAAACGTCTGCAGTGCAAGCAAATAACATCAGGAACTCTCCCATCCCCCGGGCCCTTCGGAGGGAGAGAGGAACTGCTGTTTGGCTCACTCAGTAACCCAATATCACCGCCTCTCACCTTCTCCATTGTGCATGTCCCCAGCCACATGGGAAGTAAAAGCTGAGAGCAAAGGGCAGATGGGAGAAGCCAATGAGAACTTCTCAATCCTTTTCCTCTCTTTGGGGAGATACAATAGGAATCCATTAATGATTGCTTCGCTGACTGAGAATGTAGTTGAAATTACTCCTAAACATCTTTATTACTATCTCAGTAGTAAGATCACACTGAATTCTGTACACAGACGTGCTTCATAGTCAGTGTGTAGCAATGAAAGCCCCAGTTGCTGCTCCAGTCACAGTGGGTGGTGATGAGGTGGGGCTCTGCATCCCAGCCTAGTAAAGGAGTTTCATGAAAGAGAGTCTGGCACTTGGCACTGCTTCACCCGGAGGCTTTGGGTGGGTTAGAGACTCCAGCATGAAATGTCCTTCTCTCAGTAGGTGTTTGAGCTATAAGGGGTGACATGGGGCCTCACAGCACTCTGCTGAAAAGCAAGTTAACTGCTATGGGGTTTTAAATTAATGTGTGATTCCTGTACATTTTACTGTAGCATAGTGGCTAGCCCCACAAAGGGCAGGCTAGTCTGTGCATTCACAGCCTGACTCATTTTAATAGGTAGGTAGAAAGCTTTCAATGGGTTTTTTTTGTTTTGTTTTGTTTCGGTTTGGTTTTGTTTTTTTCTCTTTCCATCCTCCCATCTTCGCTGAACGCTCGTAGTTTCATTACCATGGCAGAAAATAATCAGGGGTCCAGCAGGGCTGGGTGAATCCGACAGCCAGCCCAGACAGCATGGGGCATCCGCACGCCCGGTGAGGCACAGGTCAGCTCTGCAGAAACCTGTCCCAGCTGCAGCCCCAGGCTTTCAGTGCCAGAAACAAATCCAAGGCACCCATGGACACACGGAAACAGCACAGTGCTGTTCATAGACGAAAAGGTGCAGAAGGGAAAAGGAAAAAAACCATTTTATTTGCTATTTATTAGGGGGAAGGAAGACTGGAAGTTTTGTTAAAGAAAAGGACAGCGTTTTTGTTAGATTTCCCAGGGAAGTTACAGAAACAGACTCAATGTCCATTTGCTGTTTTTAGCAGTAGGGGTTTGTGTGATGATTCAGGATCTCTGGGCTAGAATTCAGCTGCAGAACAAAGCACATGCAGGAGCCGAAGTGACGCTGGAGTCTGGGCAGCCCCAGAGAATACAAAAAGGGAAGGCGGAGGAGACCCAATACCCTCGGGGGTGCGAGAAGCTCCCTACGAGCTCCACCTGAGCAACATCGCTGTTCTGTGTTGCATTTCAAAGCTGTATTTCCTTTAACAAGTCCAAAAAGTGAAGTTCCCACCCGGTGGTAACCCAGCCCACCCTGTGTGTCCCCTCCAGCCCTCCCGCTGTGTGTCCAAGCTGTGTGCCCAGGCAGCTGCGGCATCCCCGTGTTGCACCGTCACTGACTCTTGCACCCCAGACCAGGAGCACCACCTCACTCCCGGCCGGGCAGGTCCAGCTGCACCCTTCCACTTGTGCATGAGCACCCGGCCTCGGGAATGCATCTGTGCCCCCTGCCCTCCAGCACCTGCAGGAGCAAGGCAAGGGGCCCCCAACAGAGAAACTGGTTTGTGTTGTAAGCTTTTTTTGTGTTTTCTGTCTGTCTGTGCAAGAACTGCAGCTGCCGAAATCAGCTTTGCCTTTAATTAAACCATGTTCTCTCCATCCAGGTCTGTGTGTAGCATTTATTTCCTGTGTGACTTGGCTTCAGGCCTTTAAAAATGCATTACTTTTCTGTAGAAGCCAGAAGAATGTTTGAAGTTGATTTTTTTTTTTTTAATTTGAAACAGACCTAAATGAATCACAGTGGCTTGGGCTTGGTACAGATAATTTGGTTGTGGTTTTGTGCTGCCTGTGTAGTGTGTTTTACATACTGAACTAAATATGTAGGATGGGAGCAGCTTGCAAAGCTCCTCCCTAGTTGCAGACTCATCCCTGGTACAGTGTGTGTAGTATGCAGAGGGAGGGCACAGATCCTTCTTCCAATGACTTGCCTGCAGACCCGAGTGTTCACTGTTTCCATGCTTCCAGGTATATGACAGGAAACTCCAGAGATGTTCTGGTTTTGAAATTACAGGTGTTTATTGTCTCCAGAATAAGTTCCTTTAAAAAGAAATGTGATATTTAGGTTAATGGGGCAGTAGGGTTTTCTGGACTTGTGTGATAGCCCCTTTAGCGCCTTTGGAGTAAAGCTCTGGGATTCCAGGCTCTGTCTTTCAAAGTTACTGTATCTTCTGACTGATCAGGAGAAACTTTGATGTACGGCTCCCAGTGCTGAAGAAAATGTGTCTGCTTTTATTGGTGGGATTTTAAAAGTCCCTGTGAATTTGAATTGTGAGTTGGGGCAGGGTGAGGCTGTGTGGTGTCTTCTAAGTTCTTGGGGTTGGCACTGATGTCTTAAGGAAGCAATTGCTTTCCTGGTCCGTAGCTTCCTGAACTTGCTTCCCCTTTGGGATCTCCTGGCAGGGCTGTAAATGCAGGTTGCACCACCTTCTTGTGGGTGTTCCCAGCTTCTGGCAGGTCTGTATAAAAGCTTTTTTAAGTATGGGGGAACATGGCAAGTCTCTTTCCAAGCACAGGATTTAGGAACGAATGTATCCGTAACAGGAATTAGCAACTTCTTAACAAGTTCCTTTTTAAGAGAACAACACAAAAGGTAAGAGAAAATATAAAGCTTTTAATACAAGTAGCAATAACATTTAAAGTTCATTTTCAGATGCAGGGATTAACATGCAGACTACATAATGGCAACAGTTGAATTCTTAATTTCTCTCCACAACTTCAAGCTTTTCTGAGATCACTTCTCTGGGTGTTCAGTGTTGGGCTGTTGAACAAACGCCGATGGGAAGATGCCAGTCCTCCCCTTGCACTTGCCTTCAAACCAGTCTTCATTCACTGGAAGGGAAAATTGACACAGTTCTTATGACCCTAGAAATGTACAGGAGCATAATGTGCTGCAGACAGACCTGAGATCACTATTTTATGATGTTTCTGCTGATAAAACTTGGAGCTGTGCAGACCCAGCAGGGAGTGGAATGTGGAGGGAAGGGAGTAAAGTAGTAAGGTAAGAAGGAATATCACATGGGGGTGGGAAATGGGATCAAAATAGAGACCAGGGGGCTTGAAAAATGCCTTGAGTTGAAACAAAGTGGTGGAGAATGAGGAAATTATCTGATACTTGGTCTGTCCTCTTCAGGATACATCTGAAGTGTTTTGTCAGCTATTTCTCATGTTCACATAAAAAACCCTAAAACAACCCCCCCAGAACCCCTTACCCTGGACTGAGTAAAGCCAGGGAGGTCTGCAGTTTTGCTGTGAGGGAACCAAATGAGGCAAGAACCAGCTTTGTACTGGGAAATATTTAGCTCAGCAATGAAGGAGAATGTAGGATTTTGGGGTGGAGGGGGTCATCAGTATTGCATGGTGCAGAATCTAACCTGTAAAAGGTTAGATGGGGGACTGATTGTGTACTGCTGCCAAAGCCTGCCAGCCACCAGAAATCAGTGACATAACTACAGATAGCTAAATATAAGAGGTTTTTGCCTTTAAAACTTATTCCTGATGTCTTGATTTCACTCAGAGGCTCAAATGAGATGGGGAGTGTGCCCTGTGTATCGAATTCTTCATTGATTTCCTGAGATTTAGTCTGCATTTAAGCCTCAATTCCCATAGAAACACTAAGGGCTAATATTGAGTGACTTACGAAAGATTGTACTCTTAACAAGAAAAGTAGATGAAAAAAGGTTCCAGGTGGAAGGAATGGGAGTGAGAGCCTGCTGCCATTGTGGGGATGGAAGCTAAAATGAGATATCTCCTTGAAAGAATCCACGTGATCAATAAGCTTAATTACAGTCCCAGTGTAGCTCCTGTCTTAGATGTTTGGGAGGGCTGTGGTGGAAACGGGAGTGATGAAAATCTGTTGGAAGAAGTGTGTATAACAGGGATGTGTGGATGGGAACCCCAGTGCAGAGCTGGAGGGGCTCTGCTGCTGCCACACCACTCTCCCTCTCACCAGAGCTGGGGGTCCCTCCCCTCTCCTGTCCCAGGAGGAGCACAATTACCTTTGGATAAAACAAGGATCGTGTCTCCTGCCTGAAACTCCAGGTCTTCAGGTTGGGTGGCTTCATAACTGTACTGAGCTACAACGTGCTTGGGTCCCGTCTCCCCAGGCGTTGCCTCCTGCAGTGACTCCTCTGCTTTGCTGTCTGGTACAAACCCCTTTCCCTGGGCAAGAAACAAGCTGGTGAGGAAACAACCTCTTGGTTTTCTTTCTCTGTAGTAAGAGGCACGAGCTCTGCTTCTCCTCTCTCTTTGCTCCTCTGCCTTTCATGAGGTTGCTGACTTCTGTTGAAAGCCACAAACCCATTCTTGTGGCAAGGAGAAGAAAGGCAGGAGGGAAGAGAAGGTGGCTGCCCCCTGTGGCTGTCACTGACCTCTGTGCCATTGCACCAGACTGTCAGGCAGTTGTCCTTGCTCTGGCTCCAGGCTGCCTCCACGTTCTCTGCACTCAGAGTCACCAGCTCCTGGCCCTCCACAGGCTTGTACCTGGTGCAGGGGATGCAGGTGAGGAGTGCTGGAGCCCAGCCCTGGCTCACTGGGGCTGGCAGTGCCTCACCTCAGCTCCGTGTGCTCGGGCTGCAGCTCCAGCTTCCTGCAAACCAGCTCCAGGAGCTCCCTGTAGGAGTGGCCTCGATCGACTCTCAGGGCCACTGTGAATTTGTAGTGCACCTTGAGGACAGTTGGTTCAGCCTCCTGCAGGCAGGAAATGGGATGTCACCCTGTGTGGCTTGGCAAGCACAGGGCTGTGGAAACTGGTTGCCTGAGTTAGATTGTGCCTCCCCAGCCATGCTTGGTTGGAAGACCCACGCTTGTCTCAGGAGAGAGCTCAGTAATAGATTAGGGACTCAGAACCAAATTGTGGCTTTGGGGTGATCAAATTACAGCTGTGCCCAACCTCCAAGCCCCTCTTTTTTTTTTTTTTTAGTTGGAATTGCTGTATTTTCCCATCTCTTCCCAGTGACTTTCTGATGTGCTGACCATACCCAGCAGCATGTGCATTCCGGTCAAGCTCTCTCCTTTTTCTTCCTTCTTAAGTGCCTCAGGTTGACTAAGATGAGAGTCATCCAGTGGCCCCCTGACCTGGGGCCAGGATGAGAACTCCCAAAAAGCATCCCTAAGTCTCCTGGTAAAAGCAGGTTTGTACGAGAGCAGGACCTCGGGGTCTGCACTCACAGGACGTTACCTTTGCTGTGTCTCTTGGCTGCGCCACAGTAGCAGGAACGCGGTCTGGGGAGGAGGAAAAAGGTGGCTCAGGAGGGATGGGATGGGATGGGATAAATGTTGTATAAACACACAGCCAGACCTCCTGCAGCCCATCATGATCTCCAGCAACACCAGCCAGCCCTGGAGCCAGCAGCGATCCCTTGAATGGATACGGCATCTGCCACAGATGTTCTGTAAGATCTAGATACAACCACTGAGCAGAGGTTTTGGCTCTGTGCCTCCCCTCTTGCAGAGAAGTATGAGGGGTGGGATTCTTTCATGGATGGATCCAAAAAATATCAACACAGAGCTGCTGGCTTTATTGTCTTTGCTCCTCTGATCTCCCTAGGTCCATCCTGAAAACCTTCAATAGGGCTGTAAAGCTAAACTCAGGCCTCCAGGCAAGGTGACTTAATATATATTTGTGGAAGGCTCTTCATGAGGATCTGATTTACATTTTGGCAGTGCTTTGGCACAACTGTGCTCATTCCAGGAAGAGCCCAAGTTACACTGTTGAACATGGTCCCACTGATAGACCTGAGATGGCTTTTGGTGCCATAAAGATGATCATTGGGGTTTTTGTGTGTGTGAGGTGTTTGTCCTTAATTCCATGAACCACAGCCGCCTTCTGTGTCAGCTCTACCCATGGACTCTCTACAAGGCCGTTCTGTTGGGGACAGGAGCTTGGGATGTGGAACACTGGGTACCACCAGCCAGCATTCCCCCTCACACAGCTCCTTTAAGCCTAGCTCAGCTCAAGCAGCACTGAAACTATCTTGGATGCCCTGCTTGAAGGAGAAGCCTATAAGGAATCCTTTACTCCAAGCTGGTCCTTGCCCCATTCCTGTCTCCAGGCCCTTTTCCTCATTACTCCCTGTGCTCATTAAAGCACAGAGGGACTTGCTTTCCTCAGGGACTCCACAGACACTGTTTTACTCCATTCTCAGCACTGCAGTTGTTATCTCTGCCTCCTGTTGTAATGTCTCCCATTCCTTGACTGCAAAGGGGCCAGGAATGACATGGAGATGAGCCCTACGCTGCTCCCAAAGGGTGAGGATGTGCCATCTCAGCCTTCTGAGGGTGAGGATGTCACCCTGTGCCCCTATGCCCTCAGCTGCCCTCACTGACCTGGCGCCAGCCGCCGCGGCCTCTCCGGCACACTGCGGGTGGGTGACTCGGGGATCTCGGCTTCCACAGGGGCTTCCTCCTGGTCCATAGGAAAAGACAGTGCTGTCAGTGCCACCCTCACTGAGGGGCTGGGGTGCTGCTGCCTTGTGCAGCTCCCCTCCAACCTGCTTTTCCCCAAGTCTGTTTGGGGTATTGAACAGGGGAGGGGTCACTTAGCTAGATCCATTATCTCCCCAGCATTGCTCACCACCGCTAGGATGCCACCAGCACAGATTTTGCAGGTCTCTGAGCTCATGATAAGGTGACCATGGGCCAGAAGAACCAATGCCATGATCATGAGGAGGAGGGAGTCACATATATGGGTCTCACTGGGAGGCAGGTGTTGGGTGAATATTTCAAGATCTGCCCTCCCCAGGACACCATTTCCTCCTGGGCCACCTCACCTGGATATGCAGCTTATTGTGAAGCTCCACAGGCTCGAGGAAGTTGCAGGGGACAATCCCTTTCTGCAGGGGGAGGAGAGATGAGTAGTGATTGCTTGCAAGAAGGCAGCCCACTGCTGGAGGACACAACTGGATGTGTCCTCACCCTCCCCTGCATCCAGGAGGGTTCCTGAGGCTTGAAGTTTAGTTTAGCAGAATCTCAGCCATAATCTGCTGTCTGCTCCTCCTAGCCAGCACACTCCTGGTATACCTTTCCATTGAACATCACTGTAGCCCAATTGTCCTTCTCTTTCTTCAGGACAAAGACAATGTTTCCTGGCAGGACCTGCAGCTCCTCCTCGGTCTCGGGAATGAACTCGTACATGACACGGTGTGGCTGCCCTGTGAGGGCCCTGGGGGTGGGAGCAGTGCACAGCTCAGGATGTTGGTGATACTGTGTGAGTGCAGGATGGGGTTGTGCCTAGCTGCATGGGTTATCCATCTTTCATTCAACTTACCTGAGGATTTCTGGGGTCTTGGGCCTGGGTGGAGGACCAGAGGCCTGCCAACAGGAAGACAAGAAGGAAAATACCAGTAAGTCAGAGGATTTTGTTTGCTTTGAAGAAATGTCCTGCAGGCTTTTACCATGCCCTCACCCCAACACTGTTCCTTCCTCCACATGCAGGTGCCTTAAGTGCCATGAGGAGTATCACTGGCTTTGTTCCTTCTAAGGAACAGTTTCCACACTCTTCAACATACAGTTGGCTTTCAGAGGCATGATCCTCTTTTCACTCCTGATTTTAGTTTCAGTTCACAGAGGATTGAAATTGTCAATGCTGTCTGCATTGAGAAGGTTGTCATTTATCTTGTGACTGTGCTTTGTTTCCCCATATTCACACAAAAACCTCCTGGAAAGCTCTTGCCACATTTGGGAATGGGAAGATGCCATTACATCATCTGGAAAATGGCATGGGAAATGCTAAGGAGTTGTGGAAAGGCAGGAGGGTGCAAAGTGAGGATAAAACTGCTATTGTTAGGCAGAGGATCCCTAATGATTCCTTTGGGGAGGGTCAGAGACAGCTCCCTGCAGAGAGCCATCACCCCACCCACTGCTTCCCCATGCAGGGAACCAGCCTAACCTCAGCCCCAGCTGTGGGGGGGTTTGGGATGAGCTTCCTGATGATGGAGGGAGCAGTGGATCCATGGAAGCAGTGCCTGCCTCCTCCCCACGGTGGTGGCACAGAGTTCAGGGTGGCAAAGGTGCTCCCCAGAGTGGGTGACAGCCCCCATGTCACTCTGCCCTGAGCAAGCTGTTCATGCTGTTCACTGACAGATCTTACCTGTGGCTGCAGGGGAGCAAATCCTGAAAAATCATCCTTGTCCACCACAGAGGCCACCACCTAGAGCCAGAGACAAAGAGTGACTTGGTGCCCCTAGACCCCTCTCAGACCTCTGATGTCCACCCTCCTCCTTTGCTGCTGACCAAGCCAAGCTGCTCAGGGTGCTTTAAGCTCTGGAGAGGCTATGATTTTAGGCTAAGCACCTTGGACTGAGTGCCTCAGGTACCAAAGCTTCCCTCTCAGCTGGGGTAAGTCTTCTGCTCTTAGCCTGGCTGTTTCTGTGGTTTGAGGTGTTAAAACCTTAAAGTTTCCCATTCTGTTTTAATCACAAATGTTGAAGGGAGCCAGTATCCAGCTCAAGCCCATACCTCCTACAGGTGACCTTAAATGTAATTTAGAAAGTTGAAACATGTTTTTGTGCATGTTTCTGGCACTAAAGGAGCTGCCTGGCTCTCAGCTGTCTGATTCCCCAGTGCCTGGTTCCTTTTTTGGACAAGTGCTGCCTCCCAGGGCCTGAATCCAGAGGTGGTATCCCAGTGAGTGGATTTTGCACACTCACAGAAGAAAAGCTTGCTTCCTAATCTGAGCTGAAAAGCCCTTTTCAAACAGAGAGGTGGAAGAGCTGAAGGTTGGTTGTGGGTGTCAGATGTTAAACAGCTCCTTTCCCCCACCCCTGAAAATGCCTTGGCTTGAGCTAAAGCTCCAGTGGAGCGCCATTGCAGCTCATTGCTGACTATCCCTCATGTCTCACTAAGGAGACAAACTAGGAATAGATCATGCTCAGCAGGAACATGCTTTTAGCTCTGGTATTCTTGCAGTCTCCCTGTTTCCCATGAGATCCCTGTGTGCCATCCCTCTCTCCATGTCTGGGGGATCCCCGAGGCAGAGACCAGCTCCCTGTCTCTGGCTGCCTCCCAGGCAGCAGACAGCAGCCCAGAGGGATGATGAGAAGGCAGTCAACAGCTCTTCTCAGCCCACAGGCTTGGCCTGAATAAATAGTACAGATCTTTCTTACCATTGCCTTTCCCAGGTAGTCCTTCTTCTCCAGCTGAGCCACTTGCTTCTCATTTGGCCTGAACAGCTTCCCTGCAGGAATGGCCACCAGCTCACAGAGCTTCTGCTTCTGTGGCACAGACAAGTCATGGAGACTTTGGAGGTGAGAGCAGGGAGTGATGAATGTCCCTTCTGCCCTGGGCTTGGGGGCTGCTCCAGACCCCCACCATGACAGCCCAATCCCAGCCCAGGTGTGGTTCATGGAATCCCATCTTCCCATCCCTGCCTCCCCAGTGACCCAAAGCTCATCCCACAGACTCGTGTCCCACTGCAATAACCATTCCCATGGCATTTTAATCCTGCTAAAAGCTGGATGTGCTGTCAATGGGATTTCCCTCCCTCTCCCTGTGGGACCTGCTCCTCCATACCAGGATGGCTTCCATTGCCCTGTCTATCTTGTTGTGCTGGGGCTCACTCTTCATGCTCATGGCCAGGGTCAGGTGCTCCTCAGCCTTCTCCCAGTTCTCTGTTGTGGCATACACCAGTGCAATGTTGTAGAGAATCTGCTGGAGGGATGGAAGCAAGGGAAAGAGCTCTTGGAGCAGCCAGAGCTGCCAGGAAAGGAAAGGACAGTGGGGCAGTGGCACTGCACCCGCTTGCTTGGTTTTTGCAAGGTACAAAAGAGGCTGGCTGTGTCCTCTTTAGATTTCTCATGCTGGAGAAGGCTGGAGAGCAGAGTTTTGGGGTCCAGCTGGTGGCCAGGTGTGTCTCACCTCGCAGGCAAAGAGCCGGTAGTGCAGCCCCAGGATCTTGTAATCGATGAGTTGGTTCCCTCGCAGCTGGGCCAGCGCCTCTTTGAAATCCTCCATGGCCTTTCCATGGCTGGGGAGCACAGGATGAAGGTGTCACCAGCTCGTGGTGGCAACCTGCCTGCCTCTAAGCCTGTACTCAGACTTGGTGAGTTCTCTCTATCCTTGCAGTGTTTCAGACACCCCAGGGAAGGAGAGAGGTTTTGAGGCTCATGTTAATCCCAGGACTGCAGTGCTGAAGAGTAGGAGCCTGTTTAACCTCAGAGGCTTTCAGTCTGGGCTCTGGGGCACCAACCTGGGATGGCACCTGCCTGGGGCCATCCTCAAATGAAGGCTGGCATCTCTGTAAGTGGCAAGAATGAAACTTGAAACCCTTCCACTCACTTCTGGCTCCGGTAAGACACGGTCCCCCGCTGGAAGTAAGCCACAGCCAGGTGCTTGTCACAGCCGATGCTCCGGGTAAACGCCTGCAGAGGTAGGAGTGGGGCAAAGGGGGGGGTAAAAAGGGGGCACCTTAAAAAAGCTGAGAGTGTAGAGCGGTTTTACCTATACTGGTTTAGCTGAGCTGCCCAAGCTGGGCTCTGTGGGCTGTGTCTCCCTGCAGCACTGGGCAGTGGGTGGGGGGGAGCCTGGACCAGGCTCCTGGGGTTTTTGAGCTGGAGCCATGCCAGCATGGTCACCTCCTGGAGAGAGGGAGAGTGAGCAGTGAGCCTGTACCACTGCTGCTGCCTCACCTCTGATTCACTGGCAGAACAGGTTCGGCAGCCTAGGGCTGTCCCCTTCCTCACAGCTTTAAAAGGCCCCCAATCCATCCCTTAGAGAGTGATGCTATTAATTCCTTCCAGCCCCACCATGCCCTGGGCAAGTCCCAGAGGGGAGGATGAGCGGCCCTAGGGGCTGTACCTTACCTCCTCCGCCTCGGCCAGCTTCCCCAGGACAAGCTGGATGCAGCCGATGTTGAAGCAGATTTTGGCAGGGGGGTTCTGGACGGCCGAGAAGGCGTCCAGGGCAGCGCTCCACTCCTTCCTGTCCGCAGCGCACACCCCTTCTTGCCACAGCCGGATCGTCTCCACCAGGGACATGGTGGGGATCCCCGTGTCGTCTCACCCTGTCGCTGTCCTTCCTTGTGGCGCAGCTCGGCCTCTCTGGCTCCCTTCTGCCTGCACTTCTGCCTTGCCCGGCCGTGTCACTAACCCGGCAGGAAGTGGCCCCGCTCGCATCAGCCCCGGCGTGGGGAAGTGGGGCCGAGGCTGCGTGTGACACAGCGGTGGCCATGGGCTGCATCCCTGCTCCTCTCGGGCAGCCGCTCCTCGCCTGCTCGGGTTTTGATCTTCCCATTTTTACATTAGGAGCCATGGATTTTGTCAGCTGGGTAGTTCATCAGGTCAAATTTCAGGCTGCAAAATCCCAGGATGAGCGCTGGGCTGCGGCTGCCAGCGCCTCGGTGCCCTGCAAAGCGCAGCCTCATCATTGCCAAGCGGCTCTTGCCGACAATTCCTGGCAGGCACAGCCCTGGGGCTCCCCTGTCTGCCTGAGTGAGGAGGTGAAGTAGAGCCCAAGGCACCGCCTGGGAAATCCTCGGTCCTTCCCGACCCCACCGTGTTGTCCCTGTGTGGAGTTCCCTGCTAAGGGCCCATGGAGCTGCCCATGGATGAGGTTCCTGGGGCAGTGGCTGTGCTGCACCATGTCCCCAGGGCTCAGCCCATCATCTCTTCTGTCCAGGTGTTTTAGTGCCAAGGAAGCATAAGTGGCTCTGGAGCACTGCTGGGAGCACAGGGCCAAGAGATGAGCACGGGGCGTGTGGTGACAGCAGGATTCTGACCTGCTGCTGACTCACAGGTTTGGAGCACATGGTTTTTAGGCATTTTTGGAAGTACTTTGCCTCTGCCCCATCTACCAGCAATGTGATGTATATTTTGTAAGAGCTTAAAATATGTCAGCAAGACTCAGCCCTTGTGCCTTTACCAAAACTTCCCTAGCAAATTACATAACTCCACCAGTGGGAGGGAGGCTGGGGAGGTGACTTCTGAGTACTGCTGATGGAGAAACCTGTGCCCCAGAGCAGCAAAGACTGGGGTTTTAATCCAAAGTAGGAGCAAACAGAACTCTGAGCCTGGGGCTCTCTGGTTCTCCAGCTGCATGTGTGCCCTCAGCATCCCCCCTGCCTCCTATGGGCTTCCCACAGGAGCATGGAAGACTCTCTGATCTCCAGGGAAGCAGAGGGAGATGCAACAAGCTGAAGTGATGCCCAGGTAAAAGGGCAGGAATAACAACATGGTGAGTGTAAAAACATCCCTCTAGGTGCCTTTTCTGATTCCTGTGAGGGATGGGAGGCACCATGGAGCAGCAAATGGTTCACCTTATTGGAGGCTTAATTTCCTGCTCATTTAATTATGGGAATTGGTGCACTGCTCAGTCAGGTTTATCCCAAAAGCAGTACAAGGGGAGCTGGAGGAGGATGAGAGATCATCCCCATTGTAATGCTGACAGCAGCTGGGTATTTGTAACTTAACAGTGAGATTTCAGAGCTGTGATAAACACAGCCCTTGCAGCAAGAGTGAGTCTCTTGTTCCCCTTTCTCTGCCCAAAGCTGACTCAGTAGGTGAACTCATTTCTTCTACGATAACGTCCAACAGGAAGTGAGTAACAGAGATGGTGACATTTCCTGTGGAAGACTCCTGGAATCCAGCAAACCCAGTTCACCAATATGAAATGTCCAAAATCCAGCTGGGGTGCAGTGCACAGGTTTTGACTTTGTACAGCTACAATATGTACAAGTTTATAATTTCTGAAGAGTCAACAAAGACTGATTCAGGCACAAAGAGCCCCCCATTATGCACGAGGGAAGATTTTTTTCTGAGTTTTATTGGGCAGGAGAAGTGGAGGAGCATGTCCAGCTCATTCCCAGGAAGGCAAGTTGGAGCTCTCTGCTCAGGACTTGGGGGTTTTGGCTCTTTTCCCAAATGGAGGCAGACACTTGAGGTGGATGTGAGGACAGCAGCAGGTCTCGACTAGCACAAAAGCAGGAGGTGATGAGAAGGTGCCACTGCCACATGCTCTGGCTAGAGCTGAATGCAGCAGAGCTCTGTAAGCCCTGTCACCCTTCCCAGTCTGACCTGCATGAGGCTCTCCATTGAAGGCATCTGAACCCCTGCCATGGTGTCCGTACCATCCACCAATGCAAGCAAGGCACGATTTGGAGGAAAAGCTGTTTTTTAAGGCTAGATTTACTTTTTCCCCTCCTGTCACTCATTACCAGCAGAGCTGCCCCTGCAAATCCTGCCCTATCCCCATATCAATGCGTGTTTTAGCACATCCCTGAACAGAAACATGGATGTACATGTTCTGTAAATGTTCCTAAGTCCATCACAGCCTCACACAAGGGGATCTGCAGAACCTTAAGACCACTCCATTTATTCACTTCATTTATCTAATGCCATCTAGAAGCAGCTGATCTGCTTTGGCATCAATTGCTTTGGAAAATACTTTCCACTTCTCTGGGATTACAGCTTATTTGTTTAAATGAGGTTCATCGATGTCTGAACCCAGATCTGGGCAAGCAGAGAGAACCAGAGGAGCCAATCACAGTCCCTGGCAGAGCTGTAAGGACAGAACCCTCACTGCACAACCAGAATATCTGTACAGATCTATGGGTGAAACCTGGATGCCTTCTGTAGCAAGACTGGGTCTCCCACCTGCTATCTCAGTGCCTCCTGTGGATGTGCCTGTGTTCTTCTGGAGGCAGTGAGCAAACAGAAGCATCCTAAGAAGAGAATTTGGGAGGCACTGAATGGTTTAGGGGCAGCTGTGCTGGTTCCTGTCTCCACTGAAGGCATGTCAGACACAGTGAGTAAATATTCAGTGATGATTTATTGTCTGGTCTTTATTATTATTACAAAAACAAAGCAGATATCAAAAAACACAAGGTCCCCAACAGTTTTACACAACTGAACTGTAGTAAAATAGTGAAATTAAAACACATATATTTCAGTCCTGGCCCTAAACCTTCTACGGTGATCCGTGGTCTGGGATGCCCTGGGCTTTCCTAATTCTTTAAAATTCTCTTTGTTTGGGAACCTGACTGGCCCAGTAGCTAACATGATGAGGCACAATGCAACAGGAATGTGAACTGTTTGGTATCCTTACAGACCCTACACACCCAGAAAACAAAATAGGGGAGGCTCTGCAAGGATGGTGTCGATACCAGGATATGTTTCTCACACTACCCCAAGCAGCCATTTAGTTGTGCTTGACAAAACCAAATCACTTTCCAATTGCTGAAAGGTGATTTGCTGTGTAAAAGCTGCTTTTTCTTCTTCTCCTCAGGAGGTTTGCTCCCTAAAATAAGAAGAGTTCACTGGGCTGGGCTCCAGTGTAAATGGACCATTAACCTTTTTTCCAAACTGCATGATGGACAACTCCATCCCACTGTGACCTTCCCACTGTGGACCCAGCATCAGACTGATGGCAAGGAACCTGAGCAGGTTAAGGAAAATACTCAGCTCTCTGGAATGATAATTTGGGTTGGAAAAGAGCTTTTTTTCTCTCCTGTTCACAGATGTAGGGTCAGAGGTTGACCAAAGGCAATATGGTCCAGTTACCTGTGTTAATAATAGCTGCCCCACTTCTCAAATACAAGATTTTAGCTCAAAACGCTGCTTGGCTAGCAAAAAATTAAGACATTGCCCTGTGTCCCTCAGCACTTGCTCAGAGAGTCAGGTCCAAATCTGCCACAATTACACACAAATGCAAATCACTCTAAACACCAAATTGTTTACATCACTGAATATGTCACTGAAAGGCTGGCGAGTACCAAAGGTTCCTGTTAGAAGTAAAATTGCACCTTCATAATTTTCCAGGATTGAACTGCAGAAGAGATCACGACGCATCATTGGTGGGGTATGACAGAAGCAGCAGGGCGAAGGCAAAGCTGGGGGGCAGAGCTGCCCGGGGGCGGCCGTGCCAGGGGGTCAGGGCTGGTGCTCCCTGCTGGAGTCACAGCAACGCTCCCTGCTGCAGTCACACCGTCTTCCTGGCAGTCAGAACACGCACGATGGACCCAACGCCGCCAGCAGCCAGCGCCTGGGAAAGGAAACGGGCAGTGAACAGCAGGCCAGGGCAGCTGCAGCCTGGAGCTCCCTTCGGGACTCAAAGAGGCTGACAAGAGCAATGCAGAGAGACTTTGAACATGGCCTGGAGTGACAGAACAAGGGGGAAAGGCTTCAAACTGACAGGGAGTAAGGGTAGGTATCGGGAAGAAATCCTTCCCTGTGAGGGTGGGGAGGCCCTGGTACAGATTTGCCAGAGAAGCTGGCTGCCCTATCTCTGGAAATGTCCAAAGCCAGGTTGGACGGGGCTTGGAGCAACCTGGGCTAGTGGAAGGTGTCCCTGTCTGTGGAGTGAGATAAACTTCAAGGTCCCTTCCAACCAAAACCATCCTGGGAGTCTATGAAATTACTTGCATCACATTTATATTGCACGTGAGTATCAGCCTGCCCTCCATGAAACACCAGCAGCTAGGGTGCCAGAGTATGATATCACACTCAATTTCAAGAAAGCTTTTTAACTTTAATTAAGCTTTCATTTCCCTGCATAACCAAGCTGCAAATTTTGCTTCCCTCCAGGAAAGAAATTCTCCTTGAATCACTGGATGAAACTACTTTGTTTGCCTCACTCTAAGAGAAACCCAAATTTTGACTGTTGGGTGTTTACCCAAGAAAGCAGCAGTGGGCAGGAGGTATAACTCAGCTGTGAGCTCCACATTCACAGCCTGAATCTGGCACTTGAGTCCCACCAGCTGGGAGGGGGTTCTTGCCAGGCTCAGGGCAGGAGCTGTCCCCATGCACCCACCTTCTCGTGCCACTGCAGCAGCACAGCACTGCTGTTGTCAGAGGGGCTCTCAAAGCCCTTGTAGATGTACTTCATGAGCAGGTCCACCCCGTTCTTGTCCAGCGACTGCACCGCCTTCTCGATGTCGTTGGCTTTGAAGGAGATGAGCACCTTCAGCACGATGCTCTCAGCACGGTCCTGTCAACAGGCACACACACAGCCATCCTGCTGTGAGGCACAGCCAAACACTGCTCCTCTCTCAGGCAAACTGAATTAGAGCATTTTCATCTTTAACACCTCTGAAGAGGACCGTGTGTCAAGAGCCTGTCATAGTAAGGCACAACAGACGCATCCTCCCAAGGATAAACAAGGTAAGAGTTGAACACATTTGCCCTGCTTTA